CGAAGGTTTTTTGAAGAGCGCCTTTCTTTGGGGTTCAGCTGAGGGACGTTCTGCGGAGATTTAGACTTTCACCCAAACTGATGATGAAGATGAGCGATCTCCCATAGACGTGAGGGCGAAACTGGCGTGATACAAGACGGGGTACGGTTCGGCGCTTCAGAACAGAAGTATCAATTGGCGACATCTTAATCCAATGAAGGTGTTGTTTCAACCCCGGCACGGGCGAAACACGGCCAACTATCAACCTCAACTCAGGCAGATGTTGTTGGCCGTGTCTAAGAGATTACCACCACCACCTTGATCAGCTGGAAAAATCAAGTTTGATGTTGTTGGCTCACAAGAAACGCAAAAAACTGTTTACCCAGTGTCACCGCCTTGTGGTGTTTCCGAACATGACAGGAAGGCAACGACGGCCAGGCGACGAGCAGGGTATTGGTGAAAGTGATCCTCGACATGACAAAGGTATATGCCCCTACGAAAAAAAAAAAGTTTTAGATCACATATTCTGTAAAAATGCAGAGTCTCAGCCTATCGTTGGCGAAGACGTTACAATGTAGGGTGTAGAAAAAGTGACCCTCGGGTGTGAGACACTCCCAGCCACGGCCGTCTGTATGTAGTAATGGATCACCAGCATCGACCCACACTCGACTAATAATAACACCCCGCCCGTCCGTCTGTTCTCTCTAACTTCCGTCGTCTGCGAAGGAGACATCAGCCGAAGTTGTTGTGGACGGGAGCCTGGAATACGAGGAGCGCGCGAAGTTCCTTCAGTTCGGGTGAGTGCCGGAGGACGTACGTTCACCCTAACAAAGTCAAGCCGCGTTCTTTCTTGTACATAAGGTCGTCACCGTTTACTCCCTCGTCTTTGCCAATAGGCTCTGCGGGCGATGTGATCGAGTTTTCCGAATCAGCCAGGGGTGGAAACATGTCGAGCAGAAGGTGAGAAAGTTCATCACGGAGACATCTACGAGCACCCTTGAGTTTTTCTTCGTGTGAGGCATAAGTAGCTCTTCTCAAGAGAGAAAAACATTTGTGGCACACAATTCGCTGATTGGTCAACGCATCTGCGGCATAACTGACCCGTTCGCTCTCTCGCGTTCTATTCAGCATATACATACACACATACATCGTCCTTTATTGCCTTACTACGCAAAACCGCAGTCTCGTCACGAAACTGTTGTCGACGGGGAGAGCAAGCTACGCCACCTCTCGACGCTAGTGGCCAAGGCGGAGATGAATAAAACGGCCTTGCGAGCCGCGCGGGGGGCTCACAAGGACATCCTCGAGGCCACCGAGAAACTCAGAGCCCTTCGCCATGAGGTCTCGGCGACCCGGAGAGCTCTCGCACCTTTGGTCATGTCGTGCCCGTTCTGCCTCTGGAACTCCGCACCGCTATTTTCGTCACCTTGTACCGGGGGGGGAGGATGACGGGAGCGGCTAGACACACAAGCAAAGCGGTGCTTATTCAGATGGGGGAGACAGTGAGCGAAAGAGAAGCAACAGTACGCGTTGATGCTTCACCCACCGATCGATCGGTTTCGTGCGTGCACTGTTTTGCTTCAGCAGAAAGAGGTTTCCCCGTTCACAAAAGCAACTCGTTTCTCCTGTACACAACAAACTCGGTACAACGTTGTAGGTGTCTTGTAGCAGCATTATTAGCAGTACGAAAGCGGTTTGTCTTTGTCCATCCTCTTACGGTTTGGCGTGTGCGCGAAGAAATCACTTTCGCTTCGAATACCCCCGTTGCTCTACGGTCACGGTGTTGTGCCCGCAGTGTGCTAAAGACCTGCACCAGAGTACCAGAGAGGTTTTCCTCGTGCTCATGTTTGGTGTCTGTGTGGAGAACATGCGTCTTGCCCAGTCTCGGAAGGGAGCGCTTGTGTGGACGAAACGATCAGTTGAAAATGACTTCCGTCCGCAAAACCCATTTATACGTTGCTGGACTGGGGCGCGAAACCATGCCTGTTGTACCCTCGTGAAAAGAGGGAAATGGTGGTCTTAAGAACCTTGGGCATGTGGTTCCTCTTGAGTAAAAGGTCACCTCGACACACACACTTAGCCCGAAGGTTGTCTGGATAAGCATTCATTCACCTCATCCGCTGACACAGCGCGAGATATCATTTGGACCGTTGCAAAATGCGTTCCAAACGAGGCAGATACAAGCCACAGACTTGTGGGCAACTACATAGGTTCAGCGTGATGCTTAACTCGAGCTTGCCCACACAGTACCGTACCACCGCAAGTAGCCAAACCACCAATAACATCGCACGAAACCAAACCACCATACCACGCCAACAGCGTACAAAAAAAACGTGATACCGCAAAGCACAAACACACCAATTCCACGTTACGTGCGCACAGCAAACGCGCGACAGGAAAGACACAGAAAACAAAAAAAAATATGATGGTAAGAGTGTGGTGCACTACTACTCCTTGACTCTATTGTGTATCTCGCGGGAAGCACGGCAAACCAACCCGCCGCTTCCACGCGTTGCACAGACCGACAGTCTGGCGATCGATTCGCCCCAGACAAGGAACCACCATGTCCCGGTGGTACCCCGGTCGGAAGTTCCCAACACTACTGCTGCTGTATGGGCGGTATATCCCGGCGATATGACGGCGCCATCAGTGAGACGCTTCCGATTTGCGTTGCTCTATGTTGAACGTCCTACTTGGCGTGCTTGGCGAGGAATGCCGCGACCTTGGGCTCCGAGACGACGGCGTCGTACAAAGCGCAGAGGGAAGGGCAGGAGTCGGCGATGGTGGTCGGGATGCCGTCGAGGACACCGTTCTTCATGTGGTGCAGGCGGTAGGCAATCATCATGTCCGCCACAGTCATCTGAGGTGTCGGGTAAACACGCAGCGATTGTGGTGAGCTGTTGTTGTTGTTGTGTTCGCAGTAGATGTTCAGAAATATTCCGGTCTCCACTTCAGTACTACCTTTCGAAAAATATCCGTGCCGGTCCAACTGATTCGGGCGCCTTCCTTCCGTGGTCACAGGCCAACTACCCACAAGAAGGGCAACAACAGTACACACTTGCGGGAACAAAATGGACAAGAAAAGTGGACTCAGAAATAGTGTTTTTTTTTAACGGAAACACAAACACGGTGGGAAGGAAACCCCGCCACCGGCCAAGGGCAAGGGGCGAAACAGAGGAGAAAAACGGCGACGCAAAAACCCTACGCAGCAGCGCCGCAATTGAGTCCCCCTCCCCCGACACAACGGGGCACGTACGCAGGTCTTTGGTGTAGTCTAGGGGCCGTGTTCAAGGACGAAGGTCTCTTAAGTAGATGTTAGGTGTACTCAGCACTAGATACGGACCTACGGAGATCTACGGGGTCTCGTGCATCATGTTGGTATGTGTTGTGTAGAAGGGCGATCCCCCTTCTGAGTGCATGGGCAGGTTCGCCCTGTTCACTCGTCAACAACAAGGTCTTGAGTCAACCTCCTCCACAGCCTCCGACGCTAAGCACCCGCCACCCAACAGAAAATAGCCGTGAGACGCAACGCTCTTTCGAGGGAAAATGGTCGGCTTACGTTTAGCGTATGAGAAAACAAAACAACCACGTATACACGCTGCATCGGGAGGATAGGCGACCAATGAGAACAACGAAGGGGGGGGAAGGGCGCCGGCTGCGTTACCGCGCGCCTTCAACCCACGGGGAGGAGAGCGCTACCGCACACCCCATCGGGGTCGGGCAAGGAAGGGGACAGGCTTGACTGACCCAGACTCAAAAACCACGCACCTGGCCGTCGAAGAAGGTGCCGTCGGTCGAGGAGAGCTGCTTCTCCATGTTTGAGAGCCACCTGGAAAAAAGGCAAAAACACAAACAGGAAAAACAAGACAAAGGCGTCATTTCGCAAGGGACGTCGGGCGCGTGACCAAACTTGCGTGCACGAGTCACGTAGATACGTAGAGTGGAGTATCTTGGCGTGGTACGAAAAATAGCGGCGAAGAAGCAATGTAAGCCATCACTTTACGGCACCCACAGGTATCTACATACTACAGGCAAGGAGAGATGAACAAGAAAGAGACCAACAAACACTCGATGAAGAAGGAAACACCCATGGCAGGAGACCCCACCCCGAGATTGACCCGAGCGGGTACACCCCTCAACCTGAACCGCAGGCAGGGATATTTACACCGCAACCTCACGCTACACGAACATTGCCTTCCCCTGGGCACAACCTGTACGACACACACGCACGACCTATTTCCATCTTTTGATCTCACTTGGGGATGTAGTTGGCCGCCAGATCCGCACGCATCTCCATCTACGTAGTCACCAGCGTTCACACGGTAGACACGACACCAGCGACAGAGGAAAGGAAACGAAGCAGCCAAAGATTTCAGAATGTCTTATGTACCCAATCCACCACGCATGGAAGGGATAGAAGAATAAGTGAGGAGAGCAGGGCTTGAATTTCAGGTCGAAATCGACGAAGAGTGTGAGGTAACGCAAACGACCATCCACGCAAAAGGGAGAAGCGCTGCGGTCGCCGCCGGGAGCGCGGTGGCATCCAAAGCCAGATCAAGGTTTCGGGCGCGTCAGAGGATGCGTGCGCCGTCTTCAAGAAGGGGAAGTCTCGTCTCTGCAGCGGCTAGGGATTCACCCCCAAACTTTTGAGGCGTGGGCAAGCCCAAGGCATTGTAAACAATCCTCCCGCCCACAAGCATGTGTCTCTACCGGAGCGTACGTACTCTCTTTCTTTGTAAGCAGAATTTCGTCGCCCTGGCAGGGTCTCACTTCAGCACAACAATACTACTCTCGAGATTTTAGCTGTACTTGCGCTTTACCTTCTTGGCCTCGTCCTTCTCCATGAAGGAGGGCCGGATGTTGATGTAGTAGTCGGTGGCGCAGTCCATGGTCGCGTCGCACTTTGCTGCGGCCAGGTCGTCGCTGGGGTAGAGCCCTACGGCAGGAGCGACCAGCGGGTGGCAGAGCGAATGGCCGACCGGCGAACATCAGAAAAAAACACTGTTGCACGGATGGCGAAATATATGTTGTTCAAGGCTCACTCCGGTCCTCTACTGCAAAGCGTTTGTACTGCGACAAAACCACCGCGTAATTTTGGTACACGTGGTTCCATTACCATGCAAAAACCGTTACCGAGCAAATCACCAATATCCCATTTCCCGTCCAAGCAATTCCCACGCAAAAATTGGTTGGTTCATGTGGTTTTCTCGCCACCTCCCACGAAGTAGGCATATACAAGCGCCAAGCACGGGGGCGCTTCCACACTCATTCGTTCATTGCCGATGCACACAACGTAGCAGTGCCCTCCATGCCGGGTGCGGCACCAACATACGGCTGGCTGCAAACTACAGCAGTTAGATGGGCAACAAGCCTGCGCAACCTAACTCAACAACATGGAGCACCTGTGAGGGTTCGTCGCGCGCCAATATGGGGACTTGATGGACGAATTTGCAAAAAATCGGATGCACTCACAAAACTTGGTAGCCTACCGTAGGCTACAGCAGTATGTGTGCGCGGATTGGTACGAATCGCGGAAGTTGGCGTGAGGGTTGTGCATCAGAGTGCTCTTTCCGCGTGGCTCTTCTACCATCGCATCACCGTGTCCACGTGCCGACGAGACGCAGCAACGGAAATATCTACATGACCCGAAAAACGCGCGGATCGCCGACCGCAAACACGCGAATTTGTCCACAGAACAAAATTAGTCGTAAC